TTAGCTGAATCCCCCCCCTCTCCAACTGCATTCTGCTCTTCAGCTCTGAATGAGCCTGGTTACTTCTTACCTCCAGAACAGCTTCCCCTTCATATCTACAGGCTAACTTAATACTTCATCCCTGTGTCTGTGATACCTCCATGCTGTCTCCTAATTGTTCATTCACTTCTGCCTAGTGGTTGAGTTCACCCACATTTCCCAACCCACTGAGGCCTTTACTTCATTCAGCAGCAGGTGGTAAGAAAACATTTCCCCCAACAGCTCCCCTACAACAGGCACCAGACAAGCTGTTGGCTGTTGGTTGTGTGCCAGGTCTGCCTGGCTCCAGCCCTTGAACTATACCCTAGTTCGACTGGTTCTGCGCATGTTCTCAAGTGTCAGAACTTCACCCACAACTTTGGATATCACTGACACCCACCTCTATTTTAAACTAGATTATCGTTTGCGAGAGGACACAGCACGAGGTCTTAATCCTTCAAGCTATAATCCTTTGCACATTTCATAACCAGCAGCTAAGCAACATTTCACCCTTGACACCTAGCTGCTAGCCTGTACACAAACTGATACAACTTCCTATAGCCTATATCTCAAGCACTAATCAGCATTATAGCATCATCCCCAGGACTGACATGTAGAGGTGCAATCCTTGAACCAGAACCTCTGGGCTCAGTACAGGCCTCCTAGTGTTACAAACTAACATACCACACAGAAACCCTATTGTGCTCAAAGATGCAGCCAGATTCCACTTTAATAGAAGTCCATTTCCACCTTTGCACTTTCCTTGCTGAAACTGTTTTTTTTTTAACCATCACATCTTTGACCAAAAAGCTGTTACTACCCGCTTTTTGATATTCAGTGTGATGTAGTGGATAGAGTACTAGACCAGGACTCAGAAGACCCAGGTTAGATTCTCTGGTCTGCCATGGAAACCTCCTGGGGGTGGAGTGATGAACTGGTAAAACCACTCCTTAAATATCTCATTTACCTTTAAAGCCCTGTTGGGATCACTATAAGTCGATTCCCACTTGAAGACACATAACCAACCTGCTTTTAGCTTCTAACATAACATACCATATATCTGTGAAGATTCTCAACCATCCAGGTGAGGTTATCTGGAAGTTGAGTCATGGCAACTGGACTTCTTTCTTGTTAGGTTGAAACGTTGTGCTACTCATCCAAGTAGCTGCTTCATTCTGCGAAGAGTTGGTAGGAGATACCTGGTATGTCCTCCACATTGGTTTCACTTCATCCTGGTCTGCAGTCCTTGACAATGACAACGAATGGAGAAGGACTGCAGAAGTGGGATTATCCCTCACCCCCAGTCCTTTGTCTTTCTAACAAGCCTATTCAGACTAGGGTGAAGTGAAACCAACGTGGAGGATATATCAGGGGTCTCCTACCAACTCTCCTCAGACTGAAGAAGCTACTTGGATGAGTAGTGAAATGTTTCAACCTAACAAGAAAGAAGTCCAATTGCCATGACTCAACGTCCAGATAATACACCATAGTGATTTTATCCATCCAACTTCACACCACCTTACTGTCCATGTAAATTTTCCACACTTGTTTAGAAAGCCTTTCAGCACTTTACCTAAGCCAAGGAATGCACCCCAGGGGGAAAAAAGTTAGAAACATGTCACCACTTTTAGATAACTTTCCCAATTTTGACCCAAGACCATTTCTCTTATCCATAACAAACTGTCAATATGGCCTACAATACTTCTCTGATTATCAGCTGAAAGTCTGCCCCTTTGCATCAGTGGAGACTAGATTCTGTAGCTGCAAAGCTGGAGGATTAAACTTTTTGTTTAACATTAACAATACAGTGGTGCCTCACTTGACGAGGATAATTCGTTCCGTTCAAATCGCTGTTAAGTGAAATCCTCATCAAGCGAAACAAAAAAGCCCATTGAAATGCACTGAAAACCAGTTCAATGCGTTCCAATGGGCAAAATACCTCAGCGTCCAGCGAAAATCCTCCATAAGGCGGCCATTTTCCAGTGCCTGTAATGCGAGGAATCCATCCTAAAGCACAGCGGGGAGCCATTTTGCACAGCGGGCAGCCATTTTGAAACCCGACGGTCAGCTGTTTTTGATTGTCGTTAAGCGAAATATCCCGAAGCAGGGAACCAATCGTCGTAAAATGAAAAAACCCCATTGAATCATCGTTTAGCAATCGCAATAACGATCACAAAAAACTAATCGTCAAGCAAGTTCCTCGTCTAATGAGGTAATTGTCAAGCGAGGCACCACTGTATTACATTATCATTGAGCCAGTTCTTCTCTCTCCATCTACTTTCTATAACTTCTTGCAAAAGTTACACACTTGTTCATGCCTTTAATGTTGACCTAATATAAGCTTTTGAAGGGACGTGGTGGCGCGGCAGGTTAAACTGCAGAAGCCTCTGTGCTGCAAGGTCAGGAGACCACTAGTTGTAAGATCGAATCCATACAACGGAGTGAGCTCCCGTCGCTTGTCCCAGCTCCTCGCCAACCTAGCAGTTTGAAAGCTTGTAAAAATGTGAGTAGATAAATAGGTACCACCATGGTGGGAAGGTAACGGCGTTCCGTGTCTAGTCACTGGCCACATGACCACAGAAACTGTCTTCAGACAAACGCTGGCTCTACAACTTGGAAACAGGGATAAGCACCCTAGAGTTGGACACGACTTGACTAAATGTCAAGGGGAACCTTTACCTTAACCTAATATAAGCTTTAAGACTTCTTAAAGTAATAGCTTCCTTTGATGCTATTTAAGTATATGGACAATGCTGCAAATTTTCATTCTGAATTTCTGTTAAAACAGTTGTTGTTTAATCATTAAGTCATGTCCAACTCTTCGTGACACCATGGACCAGAGCACGCCAGGACCTCCCTGTTAAAACACTATTCACACATTTATTATGGACATTTATTCCAAAAGAGGATTATCTTCCAAGAGAACATGCACCTGGCCAAGAGATCATTAATCTGTGTGACTCATATATCTGGAAGTACACCAGCAGAGTCTGAAACAATGCATTAAAATGCCTGTTTTTGGTTGTTGTGTTGTTGTTTTTTGGGCCATTTAAGCAAGATGCTGATGAGGAAGAAGAAATGACTACATGTAGAAGATAAATAACAACTTCATATAACCTCCTTTTTTCTATAGCTGGCATATCCAATGCATACTTTCATTTTATTTCATTTCCCTATGTATCAATTTCTTTCTCCTAAACTTCTCCATTAAATGGCATAATCTGAGCCATTTAAGCACACTGTTTCAGCTGCCTGGACAGCTTAGTGAGATGAACAGCTGAGGGTCAAGAATTCAATTCTCCACTATGTCTTGTAGAAGAAGAGGAAACCTGCCGGGCCTTGAGAAGGCTACACTGGGGAAGCTGAGGACAAAAAGTGTCCCATGAAGAAAGGACTGGTAAACCACTTCTAAATAATCTATTCTTAGAAAACTCTAGAAAGGGTTGTCATAAGCCAAAATCAACTTGACAGTATGCAATTATTATCTGCTCACATATTTGTCATGTTTGCAGCCTGTTACTGTACTTTTTGGAACTCAGGGTGATATCAGTAAGAGTTCAAACCACTGACTCTCCATGCTAGGAGAATCATACCTGGCATCTGCTCATAATAAGACCTAAAGATGCAACCTCCTTCACTGTGGCATCCCCACAAATTAAGAAGTGAGGAGAACCAGTTGATCATGAAAAGCCTACTGTAATTCTATGTTAAGTTAAACACAGAATTAATGAATTCAGACATGCCTAACTCTGCAAAGGATTAACAACCTGACATTGTACTTTCAGACTAAATTTTTGAAGAGTCATCCTATTTACAAATTCAATGAACAATTAAAATATATTTTTAAATAAGTAGAACACAAGACAGCTAACAGAAGTAGCTGGATCTTAAAGGCAAGCCACATTTAAAAAAAAAACTAATGCTTGCTCCATCTGGCTAACTAATTGGGGAAGGAAGGAAGTCTCCCAATTTCACCACTCTTGTTTCCTGGTTGGAGATCAGCATGATCTTAACTCACACCACCTCTGCAAGAGAATGATGAAGTTGTTATCTGTCATTCTCAACCCTTTATCTGCAAAACTGGATTTTTTTTTAAAGTGTTGATTAATGAAGAAAAAAAAGAATGTTTTGCTAATGGAACTCGGGATCCTAAATAAACTAATCCAAGAAAATCCAGCAGGACTTAAGAGTTTCCTTTCGTTTGAATATTTTTATACTCTCTTTCTCCCACTCCTCTGGAAGACACACAGGAGGCAGGATGTGCCTTCGAGAAGACCGAGGACTCGCCGAACATAAACCTGGGTGTACCTGAGGGGACCTACCCCAGGGAAAGCCAGCCTGCGCCCCGGGGCAGCCACGTTCGCGCAG